ACTTGCCAAATTCGTGCACTTATAATGCCCTTTATTGATGGTTTCTGCAAAGAAGGAAAAGCGCAGGAAGCATTTTCGCTGTTGGAAAAGATGCTGAACACAGGTCGTAAAACCTACAGTTCATACATATACAATTCTTATTGAAAGAATGCTGAAAGAAGGTGATTTTGATTATGCTCATAAAGTTTTTGATGAAATGGTCTCCTTGGGACATATGCCTGATGTATTTACATATACTGCGTTTATTCACGCATATTGTTCTGCGGGAAAACTGAAAGAAGCAGAGGACATGATAGTTAAGATGAAGGAAGAGGGGATTATGCCAGATTCACTGACATACACCTTGCTGATTGATGCATATGGAAACTTGGGATCAATATATTCTGCTTTTGATGTTCTGAAGCGAATGTTCGATACTGGTTGTGAACCTTCTCATCATACGTTTTCTTTTTTGATCAAACATCTTTCAAAAAAAAGGTGGATGAAAGAAAATGGAGATGCAGTTGGTCTTTATTTGATTTCAAATGCCTCCTACATTGATGTTGCTGACGTGTGGAAAACAATGGAATTTGATTTTGCTCTGGATTTGTTTGAGAAAATGCTTGAACATGGTTGTACCCCTAATGTCAACACTTATGGGAAGCTCATTATTGGACTTTGCAAAGTTGGTCGATTGGGAGTAGCACAGAGGTTATTTAATCATATGAAAGAAAGAGGAATATCTCCCAGTGAGGATATTTTTAATTCTCTTCTTAGTTGTTGCTGTGAAATGCAAATGTACGGGGAAGCCATAAAGCTTGTGGATGATATGGTCTATCATGATTATTTACCACAATTAGAGTCTTGTAAACATTTGGTTTGTGGTCTTTATGAGGAAGGGGACAAGGATAAGGCTAATGCAGTTTTTTGCAAGTTGCTTCATTGTGAGTATAATCATGATGAAGTAGCTTGGAAATTGCTCATTGATGGCTTACTAAAGAAGGGCCTTATTGATACATGTTCTGAAATGTTAGATGTCATGGAAAAAAAGGGCTGGCAGATCAATCCTCAAACGTATGCAATGCTAATTGAAGGACTTGATGGAACATAAATTTTACTTGTTGGTTCTTTTTTTTTTCTGCCAGAAATTTTTTATGAGTGGGGAAAAAGGTTCTTCCACTTCTACGCCCAGCTATAAATTGGGGGTTCAAACATACAGATGGAACAAAGCAGATGTATATTGTCAGAGCACTAGATGCTTTTGGCACACATTTTCAATGTAAATTGGGCCATCTTATCGATTTTGATTTGAACATTTTTATCAGTTGATGAGGAAGCAGTATTTCTACGGTAAGTACACATTTGGATTTTTCCCCCTCATTTTCTGCTACACTCAGCTTTGATATGCATATGTGGCTTTCCAAAACCTTGAAAATATATAGGTTAAACATGTAGATTTTCTGAACCATCAACCTTGGGGTGCACAAGCGAGGTAAAGGATCCTATTTAGAAGGAACTCTTTTGCCAGAGTGCACATGCATTTGTCCCCAAATATAGACACAGGGAGCCATGTTGATTTATTGAGTTTCTTAATAACTAAGCTCTAAAGTTGCATATGCTTTCACGCTGCAGTCCAAAAACATTTTATGTAGCTGTGGAAAAATAAGTCACAGAGGTAATCTAGTGGGTCTCACGAGCCTTGAAGTTGAGCTCCATTCTTTAAGGCATGGAAACAAACAATAGAGTTCATCCAAATTTTATCATAAACTTGCTATTAATCATTTTTCTGCTCTATCCTTGCACAATAAGTTAACTAGTTAAAATTGCTATTATTTCTAGCCTGTCAAGTTCATGACTAATCTGATAGAATGTCGGAAATCTTGTGATGGCCAGTTGTCTACACTAATTCTTTCATATTTGAATATTGGCTTGCTTGTCCTCTCATCTTTTGCTATTGATACGGTCTCTTTTCTGATCTTTGCCTTTCCTTATTATTTGCATCCAAGTTTTCTTTATCTTATTGTGCGTAATTCTCATAGGCATTTACTTTTCCTTGTTATTACTATTTTCACAATACATAATAACATTTAAATATGAGATTTATCATTCATGAGTTTAAAGAAAATTATTTGTGTTCCTGGTCCAGGTAATTTCCAGTTCAGTAAAAGCAGGAGTGTTTTGAAGGAAAAGGTCCATATGCCTTGGCTATAGGAGGGATGGCATGATCTAGAAAGAGGTTGCTTTGTGAATCTGTCTTTACCATCTACTCTGGATTCTTCATTATAACATAATCTCTACATTACTCTTTCCTGCACTTTAACTCTTTCAAAATGCAGAAGTTTCTGGCACCTGCTCATGAAACCGAACAATTATTACGGCATCAAATGATTCAGAGCAGCAAGCATTCCAGACGTCAGAGTTGGTTACTATTTGAATTATTCAACCAATCAAGGAGAATGTAATAGTAAGCTCCGGTTCGCAACATTAATTTTAAGCACTAGCTTTTTAGCTTATAGATGTTCGTATTAAAAGAATAACATTTTCTAACGATTGAAATGTTTAACTCATTGAGGTTCAATCTGAATAAGTTGTGTTTGAGAAACATGGTAAATGCTTTATTTTTATCCCCAAAAGAAAGGCAAGATATTTTCTACCATTGTGTGTTTTCTTTGGCCCTTCGCATCATGTAGTCCATGTCATTTCAGTTTTTCTTCATCAACTAGAGTCATGATTTACATATTAAGTGTCATTTCTAGAATAACTATCCAATCCAGACTACATCAGTGTCAATTTTTTTTTTGAAATAAGCATCAGTGTCAATTTACAATGATTTCAATTATTTTTTCCCATAATTTCTTTGTAATTATATTGATGCAATAGTTAGGCATTTTTGGGATTATCCCTCACTGTTTATGCATCTCTCTTGTTGATTCTTATAGATTTCTCCCTTTACAAAAGAAGTATATTGTCTCAGCTACCCATTTACAGATCGTGGTCAGTTTCTGTGCTCATCAAAGATGGAAGTGTGAGACAGTGGAATTCTTTAAGTGGTATTGACCAAGTAATTCTCACTAGCCCATGGTTGGCTGAGGGGACATCCCATAACAACATCAAACACTTCTTCTGCAAATAATACAGGTAAGTTTAGTTCCATAATTGGCTTTAGTTACTCTTATACCTTCTCAACCTGAAAGCAAAAGGAAAAAGATGGAACTAGAAGATGCAGATAAATAATGTGAGAATCATATAAACAATTTGAAGCCCAGATTCATGAATAACTTGGAGAAGCTCATCTAGGAACTGCTGCAAACACCTTTTAGGTTTTTCTGACCAATTAAGTAAAATATGTTTTGCTCTATTGCAACCAGTTTGAAGTCCAAGAGGTTCCATGAAAGACTTTGTATAAAATTTATATGCTAATTTATTATATGTTTTTATGTCCTTTTAACATTTTTCGTTATAAAAGTGAGTTCAGTAAGAATAGCATCCTTTGGCTTTTTGAGCATGCAATAGTCAAACAGGGATAGGCTTACTGTATTTATAGATCTATAGTTATTAAAAAAAAAAACAGACATTTCTAGATCTATTACTGGTGCCTATGCAATTTTTCTAATGTTTGTGAGTGATTTAATCAATCTTAACTTGGATTATTTTCACGTGCTTTCAAATTAAGAAATAACTGAAATAACATGATCTCACAAACACTTGGTGCATGGTAATTAATCTGCTTGTGTATAAATTTTAAGATAAAGGAATTTTCTTTGTTTCTTTTTGTTTTCTTTTTATGGAGAAAAAGGACGATAGAAGACGGGGCGGATTTGCTAGCTATAGCTCTCCACAACCCAATATCTATATCACTTGTGTCAAAGATAGTGCCGATCCAATCCCTATAATGTTCTAAGATTGCATTATGTGCTTAAATTTTTTGGTTTCTAGATCTCCCATTGTCTACCTACTTCCACTGATAAATTCATACATAATCCCACTGTTGTAATGGTTTCTAAGAGAATCGCACATGGACTGAAAGCACAAAGGCTGCTGCAATATCCTGCTTTCGTGGTTGAGGACAAGCAGAACTGTAGATCCCATTTCAATTAATTCGATTCAGTTAATTGTTGTTTTTCTTTGTTTTAGATTATATAGTTTGTTATTATTGGTGGTCAAAAACAGAGTTGATAGCAAAGCATCATCGTTGAGGAGAGGATTAAGTAGGACTACAAAATTTGCTAAAGACTCGAGTTTCTGGATTATGATGGGTAGAGAAGGGACCAGGTGACTAAAAAGATATTCTTTTGCACCTTATCAACCTGTCAGGAGCGGCTCAACCTAAATGACATTCAAAGAAAGCAATAAACCTTTTATGGCAGAGAAACATGAGAATCCTTTATGGCAATTTTTGGAGGTCTATGGTTACAGAAAGAAGAAGAGGATTATTATCCCAGAAGGCATTGGTTTTCAGGCTGGCTGATGTCTTATAGTCCATGATTGAAGTGGAAGCAGTGCAGAGGAGGAATCAGAATTTTAAATCACTAGAAGAATGAGCGAATTTTCAGAAAGTTCATCAGCAAAAGACTAGTTGTGGTATGGGCACTCTTGGTGGAAGAAGTAGAACCAAACATCAGAAGGGATATTAATACATCGAATCGGTCAAAGGGAAAAAAATTGGTCAAACTCAAAAAGAAAAAAGGGTCTCGCGAGCCGGTTGCAGCACAAATTATTACTACTAAAATAGATAATAGTGTAGATATTGTATTTCATCGTTTGATCATCTAATGATATAAGAAATGATATATAATAATTACTTATTTTCTTCATTATACATTATATTTTTGTTGGTATAACATTTTTAAGAAACTATAGTAATTTCGTCCAATTTTAAAGAGATATACTAACTATATAAACAGAAAGGTTTTAAGCATATATCATCAGCTTATTTCCCTTGGTAACAGTTTTTAACATACACAAACAACTCATCATGTTTCCATACCAAGCAAGTGGTTTTGAACTTTTTAGAGGACCACAAGGAATAATTTGAACTTAAACCAATTATGCTTCCATATTCCATAGGTCATTCATTATTACACTTTTATGCTGGCTTTACAAACAATTACCCTAGTAAGGTCCTTCAATATTCTAATACTGTTTTTTTTTTAAAAAATTGAACTAATTGATTTTCATTTATACATTATTAATTATGTAATTTTATAATTAAATACATTAAATATTTCCCTTTTAACATATTATCAAATACATTCAAATAATCAAAGAAAGAAACTTCTAAACTTTACCACTTGAAAAAAAAAAAGTATATATATATGTACACACACACAAGAAAATACATATATAATGTAAATGGTCGGAACTTAAAAGAAAATAAAGTCATGAATTAAATACGGAAGTGAAATAATAGAGTTTAGGATTTATATTTCTTACGCAATAATTTAGAATGTCCGATAGGGTTATGAGAATGTCTCTTCTAAAAAAATAAACAAAAATCAAATAAATAAACAAAATGCAATATACTGAATATTTTAAGAAGACCTTCACTAATTTTTGAAGGGAGTCCGGGTGGTGAACTATTCATAATCATCTTGTTGATTGGGATTTGAGTTTTGCTCCTCTTGATCTGAAATAGTTAATAAAATGGTGAGCTACACTAGTCTAGTAAGAGTATCACACTACTCACCGATACAAAAACTGAAGGTTGGTAAAAATCATAAAAACAATATCTTAATTTAAGTAAAATCATTTATTATAAGGAAAACTATTTATTGCATATATTTACCATTGCGAGATTTTCAAAATCAACATATAGAGACAATAACTCAAATAATATTCAAATATCATATTCAAGTGAGAAAGAACAATAACTTTCTCTTTTTATTTACCTACTGATATCCCTAGGGGCCCATAGGGATGTTCCACTACGCGTGAACCAAAATTCAATATTGTCAACTAACCGGTCGTCCCCATATCTCATCCGCTATGAGTGCTAAAAATACTATCCCTTAATACCCCGTCCGGTATGAGCGCCAAAAATACTATTTCTCGATACCCCGTCAGGTATGAGACAACTTCACAATAGGGTTCCCTATATACCAGATCCATCCACCATCTTGTAGGATATCCAATAAGACTAACATTTATTAATTCACATGACCAAATAATTTTTCGTTTGCATATTAATTTTTAATTTCACAAATCAACCGTAAATCATGCAAGACAAACAACATATATATCAAAGAAGCACGACTGAATCATTCAACCATTCTAGTATATCATTATGTATTTAAAGTTGTAAATTCAACAATCAATTAAATAGGACAAATAAAGAACTAATCGATTCTGGTTCTATTAGTAACCTGTAATTATTCTCAAAATTTTTTAAATTACAATAAATATCATATTGTCGATTATTAACCTTCAATTCTATAACAGAGAATAAAGTGAGAGATTCTTACTCGAATCGGTGTCTGAAACATTGAACTTTCTACTGTGCCTACTAGTGATCCACAAGTTTTTTTAATTTTTTTATAAAGATTAAAACACACTTCACGTACCTAAAAATACCAAAAAATACCCAAAATCAATATTAAAAACTTTTTTCGACCAATTTTTTGCGGTTGTGGTTTGTCTCGATCTATTCGTTTTCGGTCAGTTTTGACCAATTTTGGCCGATTTTATACCCATCCCTCCAAGAAAATACGTTATGGGGTATCGGTTAGTCGAAAAAAGTTAAAAACAGAAACCTACCGGCGGCGAAATTTTTCAGTGCAGCGGCTCTGCCAGCTCACCTTCACAACTGAGCGTTTTTCTTCGGTCAACTTGTAGAAAACAGAGCGGTTAACATAATGGTAAAAAAATTGCACAAATCAAAAAACGAGAAAGGGCTCATTAGAGGAGGTTTTGGGTTTTGCCTGCGACGGCGTCGTCGGGCTTTACCCACAGTTTCTGACTCACCCACCATTTTTCTGCTCTGATTTAGACATGGGGGTGCTCAAAATCAAATTTCAAGCAGATATGAGAATTTTTACCTTTTTTAGCGGTCGGAGGTGGCTCCGGCGCAGTGACGGGCAACAATCGGCTCCCTTCTCCGGTGATTGGTTCTTCTTCTCTGACGAGAGGCTGGCAGCTAGGGTTTTGGTTCGGTGTGATGCAAGATATTTGTATCCGTCTTACATTAATTTGTGTCATTCATCACGTTTGATCTCGATCGTCTGATTGCATTTAAAGAGAGAACGAATCTGAATCGTTCATCATGTTTAATCGTGACCATCTGATCGTGCTTGAGGAGGGAACAGATCTGGACCGTCAATGCGCGTGGGTACGATTCCGGGTCGTCTGATTGTAGGGCACGTAGATCGCCAGCGCGACCTCCCGCGTGGCACTAAGTCAACGTGCCTTACCACACGGTGCGTTCCAATTCGTCGGGGTTGTTGACTAGGCGGTCCTACGTGGTGAATTTTTTTTATTGCGTCTTGATCCCCAGTTTCTAATTTTTTTTTCAAAAACACCATCCGAACACAAATTTCACTTTTTTTTTCAAAATTATTTTTAATTTCGTCATCAACCAATTTTTTCTCTAATTTCACATTTAAAAAAATTTATAAATTTCAAAATTAGATTTTTATACATTTTTAAATTTCAAAATTAATTCTAGGCTAAATTTCGAGTCCGGATATTACAACTCTCCCTCTTTAAAAGAAATTTGATCCCTTAAATTTGTCTCCCTTTCACTTAATCAAATAGTTGGGAATACTAGGTTCTGAAGTCTGATTTTAGCTCCCATGCGGCGTCCCTCTGTGTGTGATTCTGCCATAGGACCTCAACGAAGAGAATTTTTCAATTGTGGAGTACTTTGCTCTTTCGATCTACAATGCCCACCGGTACCTCCTTATAGGACAAATCCTCCTGGACTGAAAAGGGCTCATGGGCCAAGATGTGATAGGGGTCCGAGTTGTACTTGTGTAACATGGACACATGAAACACATTATGGACTCTGGATAGTTTTGGAGATAATGTCAGTTTATAGGCGGCGGTACCAATTCTATCCAAGATTTCAAATGGCCTAATAAACCAGAGATTTAATTTTCCCATATTGTCCAACCTATTGATTCTCTTGAAAGAAGTGACCTTAAGGAACACTCGATCACTTTTCTCAAATTTCAAATCTTTCATCCGGGTGTCCGCATAACTCGTTTGCCTGCTCTGAGCCGTCTGAATGTTTTTCCTGATTTTAATTATTTTTTTTTGTAGTCTCATTCATAAGATCTGAGCCGAACAATTTTTTATCACCCACCTCTTTTCAACAGACCGGTGATCTGCATGAGCGGTCATATAACACCTCGTACGGAACCATACTAATACTTGCTTGGTAGCTGTTATTGTAGCCGAACTCTATTAAGCGTAAATGATCATCCCAATGGCCTCCGAAGTCAAGAATACAAGCTCAGAGTATATCTTTTAGTGTGTGGATCGTCCTTTCTGATTATTTATCGGTCTGAGGATGGAATGTGGTACTAAGAAACAGTTTTATTCCCATGACTTGCTGAAAACTAGACTAGAACCGAGAAGTGAACCTGGGGTCCCTGTCGGATACTACTGTCATTAGCACTCCATGTAATCTGACTATCTCTCGGGTATACATTCTTACTACCTTGTCCAAGGGGTCGGCCATCTTGATGGATAAGAAGTGAGAAAACTTGGTGAGTCAGTCAACAATTACCCAAATGGCATCATGTTTCGAGTGTGCCATAGGCAATCCTGTCACGAAATCTATTGTGATGTGTTCTCACTTCCACTCTGGAATCAGTAATGGCTGAAGTAGCCCGCATGGGTGTTGATGTTCTGCATTGACTTACTAACACACCAGACACTTGAAAATAAAATCAACCACCTCTCTTTTCATCTCGTTTCACCAAAATTGGGGTTGCATACTTTGATACATCTTAGTGCTTTTGGGATGCATGATAAACTTTGAGCAACGAGCCTCTGTCATGATGTCATTTTTCAGCTTACTGTCATATGGAACACACATCCTGTCCTAAAATTTGAGCAACTCATCAGCAGAGACTCAAAATTCTGAATTTACTCCATATTCTACATCTTTTCTGAGGGTTGCTAGGGTAGAATCAGCGGATTAGGCTTCCTTTATTCTCTGCATAAACTTAGGTTGAACAGTCAGGTGGGTCAAACATGTAACTCTCTTAAGGTCCTGAAGTCGTACCTGTTGTGCAGTCCCTATTACCCTGCATTATGAAACTATCAGATGAGCTAATATACTTGCACTTTTTCTGCTGAGTGTGTCGACTACCACGTTGCCCTTACCCGGATGATATAAGATATTGCAATTGTAGTCCTTAAGAAGTTTTATCTATTGTCTCTGACGCATGTTGAGATCTTTTTGAGTGAATATGTGTTTCAAGCTCTTATGATCAGTATATATATGAAAAGTCTCCCCATACAAGTAATAGCGCCAAATTTTCAAGACGTGGATAATTGCGGCAAGTTCTAAGTCATGAATGGCGTAGTTTTTCTCATAACTCTTCAACTGCCTGTACCCATAGGCTATGACCTTTTCATGCTGTATTAGAACACAATCCAATCCCAGGTAGGAGGCATCACTATAAACTGTATATTCACTTGTCTCACTCGGTAAGGCCAATACAGGTGCAGTAGTCAACCGCTTCTTTATTCTAAAAAGCTCATTTCATA